ATTCCGTACACGATTACCGACGACCATCGATACGTTAACGACGTTTGCGCAGCTTTTTCTACATGATAGAAAAGCTGCGCAAACGTCGTTAACGTATCGATGGTCGTCGGTAATCGTGTACGGAATTTAGGCCCTGGTATGGACTTTAATCATAATGACTTTAATGCCCGATTTCTTCACATCCAGTTATGTTACGGTTAAAGTTAAACGGGAGACAACTACCAGATCCATGCACGTGATTGGCCAAAACTTGAGATTAACCTCCTGATAATTTTATCGGGAAGTGAAAAAATCGGCCATAAGATGTTTACTATGCTCGACACGTGAGACTATTAAAGAATGAGACTAAAAAAAGGAGAGATATCCATACTAAGGAGGAAAAGAAACTCCAAAGTTTCTCAAACGTCGGTTAACTGCCAACCGAAGGTTAACTTATTCTCTTCTTAGATAACGAAATAGAAATAAATAGGAATTGTTGACTGGTTAAACAGTTGACCGACGTTTGTGAAACTGGCCCTAAATTCGATCGTTCGAGAAGCGATTTATGGCAATACTTAAGTGCAACATGGCAGAGGTGGCAGTAAATTTGAAATCTGTCTGCGACAAGATATCGCGTGCTGCCGCGAAGAGAGCACAGGTATTTCACGTTTGCTATTAATTTAATGTATAAAATTTATTATTCTTTAAAAAAAATTCGCTGGATAGTTGTACCAGAGAACGTCGCGTTTCGACAGTCAACGCTAAGGTTAGACCTTGAAATTTATTTCGCAGGAACATCAGTATTGCGAGCCGCGGCTGGTAGCAGTCAGCAAACTGCAACCCACGAAGTCGATAGTAGCCGCGTATCGGGCCGGTCAGCGACATTTCGGTGAAAATTACGTGAACGAGCTGATGGAGAAGGCTTGCAGCCCCCTGGTCTTTGAGCAATGCAAAGAAATTCAATGGCACTTTATAGGCAGTTTGCAGAGGAACAAGGTCAACAAGGTTTTAAGTGTACCAAATTTGTATATCATAGAAACTGTCGGTAGCGACAAACTTGCCAGCGCGCTCAATAATTCGTGGCCGAGGTTTCGAAAGAGCGACGGCAGCAAGTTAAATGTCATGGTACAAGTTAACACGAGTCAGGAAACGGGTAATGAGATATTTGGTTCATTTAATGCTTCACTTGAGAAAGTCATAAAAGGACGAAGTAGTGTAATTTGCAGTCCAACGAATTTTGGCTCACCCTGCATAAAAATTTATCTGATTGCAGAAAAGCATGGTTGCGACATTGCAGAAGTATCAACCCTTGTGAAGTATATCATACAGGAATGTCCTAATTTAAAATTTAAGGGCCTCATGACGATAGGAATGTTAGGGTACGATGTCTCGAGTGGACCAAATCCTGATTTTGTTTGCTTAACGGTATGCAGAGAAAAGCTGCGCGACAAATTGGGAATCGATATAAGGGATATCGAATTATCAATGGGGATGTCCAATGATTACGAACATGCGGTAAGATTTCTGGACAATCTGTGAATAGTGTTGCCAATAGATTTTATGTTTTATATAAGGCGCATTGTTTTCTATTGTAGATTGAATTGGGTAGCACAAGTGTGAGAGTGGGACGTGCCATTTTTGGCGTTAGGCCACGAAAGAATTAAAAAGACGCAGTATAAATGGTGCATTTAATCAACAATTTTACCTCTAGGACAAAGGATCTATCTTAAATTAAAGGTATAATTGTATATGTATCTTGACATGTATATACAATGAATACTTCTTCTGTAGTAGGCACAATTTAATTTTTATTATTTTTGTTAGCAAACAATTTTGTTATTCTAAAAATGTCACAATCAAATATTTTCTCTAAGATCTTTACCTCAATTCTCATTCTTATTCCGATATACAAAGTAAACACGTGTTACGTGCTCTATCTTTTGCTCGTTTTGTAACTTCAGTCTGTTGGCAAATGAATACTAAAGAGGCAGTACAAAAGAACAATTCTGATTGTGAAAAAATAACTAAATTAAAACAGAAGAAAATCTAGACAAGAGAAAATTCTATGAGATACATAATAAATTATATACATATAATATATTATAAATAAATGTACAAAGTGTATAAAGGATTAATAAAGAAGACTAATATGTATCAAAATTAATTTTAGACACTGTATATCGTATCAAGGTATTACTGAAGTGGGGCCTTCCAACTGACCTCATTGAAACTGTGTAATTTGGTGTATTGTAGCGCCCAAAATTATCAAGTATAAAAGTTAACATCGTCACTCTAAAGCAGAAAAAAGAGAGATATTTTGAAATGAGGACTCTTGTCTTTTTATCCCTCCTTTGTTTATTTCTAGATTTATATTAACTAGACAGCTTTTATTTTGCTGAATACTACAAATGTTTCTACCTTTCTCTGAAACTGTTCTACATATAATTTTATATATAATTTATCTAAATATGAAAATTTATAAAAATTAATAAATTTTGTAAAATATTAATTTATCATACGCACAAAGATGATATGATAAAAGGGCGTGGTCCAGTTCCAATCTTTAGCCTCATTATGTCGTACGGACATACATATGTAGGTCACCTTCACCGTTTTTTTTGCAGGAGCATGGTTCAAATGTATCTCGTGCAAGGTCACGAATTACGCAAGTTACTTCTCTTAAAAGTTATGGAAGTCAGTCAACTTTCTTCGCAAAATCACAGGGCATGTACGCAACGTCATTGTTTCTCCAGCAATAATTGACCGAAGTTGAAGCTTTACAGAGATGCCAAGAATTAAGAAGAAGCTTACGTAATGAGAGTTTCTAAATATTTTGGCATAATGTACCGTAATTTTTATCCCTTAAAATTAAAGTAAAAATCAATGGCTATTTTATTTTGGAAGATACACACAGCTTTTCTTTTAAAATTAAAATATTAAATTTATAACAATATAATATTTTTTTATGTTGGACCGTTCTATAACGCGTGTGATCAGATGCAATTTTGTTTGCAACTGGCGTTTCCACATAACTTTTGTGAGAGAGGACATTTTATGGATTCTGAAGATGTTTCTGCAAAATTATTTTTTTAAATAATTAAAAATTTAAAGGATTCCATGACGTACCCTTCTCTTAAGTTGCTCTCCGCATATATTGCAGGCAACAACTAAGAAAAATGATACAAATTGCCCATATAATATGCGTCAATAAAAGAACTAATCCGGTGCAACTTGATACAAACTTGCATCAGACAATCATAAATGAGGAGATTGGTGTACAGTATACAGTCAGTTGCGCAATATCCATAATGCGAAGCACGAGACATGCATCGATATTGCAGTTTAGCAATATATTTTAATAAATTCAAAAGCGTTATAAGGAATCAAGTTACATGTAACTACTTTATTAATATGCGAGTGTACGTAAACAACTTGTAAGTAATTAACTGTTCTTTCTCTCTCTCACGATTTAATGAAATAGAATTCACAAATTTATTGAATTTATTGCACTTACACGAATGCACTATCAATTGTTCTTGCTTCTCATATTGTTTTATGTTTTATCATAAAATTGTACTTGCCATATTAGGCGATTTTTGGCGATTGTTTGATACACTTTGGTATATGTACCAAACACTCACCAAAAATCGTCTATTATTTGTGCTCTCATGAATCACAAGAAAAGAATGCAAACTATTGCTTGATATATTATCAAAAGAATGTTACGAAAAGTATATGCGATAGAGCTTGAATGATAAACTTGAATACATCGATGATAGTCGAGCATTCTCGAGAATTAAAATTAAATTTTTTAAACCACGTAGTCAACCTGTTGACTCGTTTACAATTTAAACTCTGCGTTTTCGAAATGTTTTATCAATCTGTGCTATGAAATGCAAACGTTGGTATGTGAGAAAAGCTATTTATTTTGACGTATATTGCAAGAAGAAAAATTCACCAACTATTTCCCGCTTCTGACGTCATAATGGAACACGATTAGAGCGAGAAAACAGGCCGATTAATATACCGATCATCGAAGGCGGAAAATGTATTCAAGTAACAAGATATAATACTTTATAACTATGTGATGCAATAACGCCTTACCGTGGACAGAGAATGCGTACGCGTACAAAGAAGTTTTTGGGAAAAAATGCACCACGCATACTAGACAGGTTTGCTGCAGCACGCGTATAAATACGCTGTTAGATTTAGACAGAGCATTCAATCCGTTCCTCGTGTTTCAACGGGAAATAGAAAAACGACATCATGTTCAAAGTAAGTCCCTTCATAGCCAAAGACATTCAAGATTATTATCTGTGTATCACATATTCCGTCAGTTTGTAGAAAATCGACCAGAGTTATGAGACTTCAAGTTAACATTATAGATTATAATACTCCTAGAATTATTATAATATTTATATTATGAGAAGATTATGTATATAAAACGCATACACCGCATGATTACTAACGTTCCAATTTAACAACGGAACGTGATTGTCAACATATATAAAACTATTTTTCATTTTAAGAGTGGCCGGATATATAACGTAAAACAAGACAAATTTAAACATAACATTAACATTTCCCAGTAAATAAGACATTCCGAAATTTGTGAAAATAAATAAACGTTATTAAATCTTGCAGCTCCTGGTGCTTTTCGGCCTCCTGGCCATCACACAAGTCTACGCCGGCGTGGTCGCGCCAGCGGTCGTCGTGAAATCTGCCGCCACGTGGGGTGGTGCTGGATGGGGTGGCGCTGGCTGGGGTGGCGCTGGATGGGACGGCAAGGGCGCGTGGGGTGACAATGGCGCCAACGGCGCGTGGGGTGGCAATGGCGCCAAGGGCGCGTGGGATAACGGCGCGTGGGGTGGCAATGGCGCCAAGGGCGCGTGGGGTAACGGCGCGTGGGGTGGCAATGGCGCGTGGGGTGGCAACGGCGGATGGGGTGGCAACGGCGGATGGGGTGGCAATGGCGCGTGGGGAGGTGCTAAATTGGGCTAGATCTCTTTTACGTTGAACGAGAAGACCTACCAGCAACCACGCACATCGCAGAATTCACCTTGCCCTTAATGTCGGACACATGTGATCACATCTCCGCAGTTCTCCCCGAAGTCACCATTCACAAAATTGTTTTGTTTCTCTATCGAAATGTTTCTTCCCCCCCATGCCACTCGAAATTGTTGATAAATTATTGACGAACGTCATGAAAAAACATGAAATAATAATAAAATTTCGTACATAAAAACTTGATTGTTATTCTACCTCGTAGAGAGTACTTGATCCTCGACACGCCGCTATTACCAATTAAACTTATCCTAGACTAAATGCGACGATATGTTGCAATAGCTTCCGTCATATATTATTAATCCTTTATGATTCGTAATTAATTCAATCCCGTGAGAAACGAATAGATGGATCTATAGATCTATAGGGGTTGAAAAATGAAGCCTTAGATTATAGAACAAAGTGTGATTTTTATTGCGTAACTACTTACATTGTAGCACCATTAATTTGCCACGTACAGAAGTAGTTACAGATTTTCGAATAAATATATGCCGTATGAAGTTGCGCCTGATGTGATCGATTTAGTAAGCATAGGCGATTCCAATCGGGCTGCTGTAGCTCATATGAGACACCTCAACAGCTGGCGAGTAGGCTACTCCAAGAGCAGCTGGCGGCACGGCCGCCGGTATAGCGGCTGCGGCGTACGTCAACGGGGCTGGGTGAGCAAGATGAGCATAGGTGGTGACAGCCGGGTTAGTCACGCGGATGTCGGTCTTGCTCGAGCTAGAGAAAGGCGTGTCGATGGTCTTGGTTTGCGTGGCCACCTGCGCCAGATTGCCGTGGCTGCGTAGAATATTGTCGGACGTCGACGTGATGGCATGGGGTTCAACGTGCGCTATCGGCGCGTACTGGTACTGCAGGGCGGAAGGAACGCCGATGTAGCCGGCATTGGCCGCAGCCAAAACACAGGCGATTACGAACAACTGAAACAGAACTCTCGATAACAAATTGGCAACCTTAAGAGCGCAAATTCGTATTCCTATGCGTACACATTTTCCATATTCGACAGAATCTAATTTATCCTATCACCGTACATACCTTAGCTGCCATTGTGCTACGGGTAGAAGATGCTGCGATGACTTTGATCGTGTCTGAGTTGAAATACGAATGCTACAATCCGTGACAATCGGTACTTTTATACTTGGCGGACAAACGACGAGCCACACAGAATCTTTCGGTACTCACTGCTTGCCATGGTGGGATATAGTGTCAAGGATATATTTAATATTACGCCATTACGCCGGACACCTTGTTCCCTGTTGAATCGTATACCCTTGCGAAGATTCAAGTGCCTAAAATGTTTTCTCTTGTACACAATGTTTTGAGATAACATTTGAAATTTACTAGTTATTTGTCTTTATCTTTAACAATATTTAAATTTTAAAGCTCTTTACTTAATACATTGCTTTTAATAAGAATGCACTAAATTGCTAAGAATACCACGGTTGTTAAAAATGTTACTTTTTTTTCTATACAACTTGAGACAAATGAGACAAATTATATTATTTTTCTGCATGTCAAATTCTTCCATAAGACATCTATCTGTTAGACAAATTTTATTGATACGTGTCAAATAACTCTTTTACATTCTCGCGAAAGAGCAATATGGAGAATTACTTCTCCGTAACCTGCCTGTCAATTCTAAGTCTAAGATCTCGTACATTGTTATACTAATTGTAAAACATTGTGCGAATTTTGTATATCGATCGGTACCACACCTTCGTCTTCAAAACTGGAACATCCGGCTCGGCCACGCCTCTCCGAGCGGAAAGTAGTCTAGCCTTGTGTTCGCTCTCAAACTTTTTCTTTTGGGGCGTAACTCGTTACAATTACATTTCATTCTGTATTCGGGAAACTGGTATCACCGACATTACTCGTGTCTTAATTCCACGTGATAAAGATAAGTCTGCATTTCTTTTTCCAATCTTGTATGAATTCTTGAGATAAATACGAGATACGCTTCTGACGCTGCAATGTCAATGGTGAGTGGGTAATACGGGAAAGGTTTAAATGTACATCGCGCGTAATAAGATAAAAAATATAAAATTTATCCAAATGTATAATATAATGCAGACTTTTATTTCTATTAAAATAATACCAGAGCGGGAGTATAAGGCTGGCGAATAAAAATTACATACGTTCCCTTTTATTAGCTGTACTAAATTTATTTTATTTCCGCTCAACTGCACTGAGCACGTGCCATCATAGAAATCTTTTGCGCCTTCTGCACTATGTCAGGACAACGTCGTCGCCTTACTAATCTGCAATCTTGAAAGAAACCTTCATTCCTTGGAAATCCATGTGATCCATCAGCATAGGTCACTAAACCTGTGATTAGCGAATAAAAAGCTATAAGCTTTCGAAAGCATACAACTCAGAGTTGAATTGAAAAACGGTATGTAGTCCAAAAATTGTTGCAATGTTTTATTTACGAAATTATGAAGAATTAATTGTCTTGTAACTTGATTATATACCTAAGCCCCAGACACGACCTCCACGAAATTCCCCTTCAAATTTCATTCCGTCGGCTCGCCAGAACACACCATGGCCGTGAAACCATCCTTGCATAAATTCTCCCTCGTACCTAAGTAAAAGAGAATGTAAGTAGTTTCGTGTAGAAATATGCGCGACGATATTTCTGAGTTCTGAACGCGCAATCTCGAGATAAACTTGCAATGTAACTCACTTCGCTCCATCGGGAAATACAATAACTCCCAAGCCGGAGCATAATCCATTTTGAAACGCCCCATCGTACCGCGTTCCATTCGGAAGAACTAATAGACCAGCGCCGTGTTTCAATCCTCTGCGATTCCAATCGCCGATATATTTCGTACCGTCGTCATATTTGTACGCACCGTTCTTTGCCACACCTGCCGCCCAGTATTTAATTGATACACGGATATTTAATAAGAAATCAAATGTTCTATTTAATAAAGAAATACTCGTGTTCTTTTCTATGTAACATCAACAGAAACAGAATTTTACTCCTAAAACCAATGAGGCAAATGTTATTCTTCAATTGTAAATTCTTACCGTCACCCATGCCTGTGCTGCACTGAACGCGTCTAAACTAGCTGGAAGTCTTAATCCACTTACAAAGATCAATTCTTTATTCAATTAAGGAAGATGTCTACGACAGACGGGCATAGGGAAACCTTGGGGGATGCTCAGGAAAATACATTGTGGATTAGATGCATAAATAAACACAATCGCATACAAATGTAGATACAACATGTTAATATTCGGTAATGAGAAATTTACATTCAAAATATATGTAAAGTAAGGCAAAAAATTATTTATAAAATCGCATTAGATATATACAGGACCGAGCTGCAATATCGTTCACTCCTTCGACTGTTCTTCAGATGTACCCACTAGGTACCATCGAGTTCTCGCTTCCACCGCAGCCTTCCTGACTAAACGTTTACGATCGTCGATTATCATCCCCAATTTGTCTAACACAGTCTGCTTGTATAGAGTGATTAGAACCGTGGGATAATTAGCGTAATGCGCTAGGCATTCTAGAGCCGCAATTCTAACACCCTATTAATACCAGAATATAACTTTACATTATAGTAATATCAGAATTAAAAAATTGAAGTTACTGCAAATAATTACCATGATCCGATGAGTTGACAATTGCATAAGCCTTGGTATAACGCATTGTAAATTATCAGCAAATACGTCGTGTTTAGTATCAAGTAAAAGTTTAAATGACGTCAACGTCCAGAGAACCAAGTGTTCATTACTAAGAGACAGAGACTCGACCAACAGCGGCACCAACTGACACAATACATTAATCAGAATATTATTTCTATTGCAAGAAAATGTTATCAGTGATTCATTAATGATGAAAACTTACCTCGGTTAAGTGCAAAAATAATAATTCTTCAGGCATCTGTTCTAGCAAGTGTACCAAAGCAATAAGATAATTCTGTCTCGTTGCGCTTGTAAAATTAATGTTTTGTCGCAACAAATATTCGAACACTCTTTGTTTATAAAAGATTTTTACGTCGCAGAAATTTTCCGTTATAAAAATTTCCTCATATTTACTTACTAAAATTTGATAACGTTCACCTATAAATTGACCTATCTCATTGTGAGTTAATAGGCGCGTAAGCTGTAACAACAAAGATGAGAGTAGATTAATTTATCTATACTATAACAGAGTATTACAATATTACAATTATATTTAACCACACGTACATTCTCTAGAAAGTGTTGAGACTTTGCGTATCCTCTCATGACGAGTGCTTTGGTCACCCAAATTTGGAAGTTAGCTGTGTATTGCTTTAGCTTAATGTCACTGTCCGTATTTAAATTATTACTTATTTTGTCTTCCAGATAAGATACAATCCTATCGAGATCTGACACTTTCATTTTATTTAATAAAACAGACAGAAATTTACAGCTTGTTTGCCTTATATCCGGATTGCAATTGCCAGTTGCTAGATTATACAGATTTTCCACCATACTATTATTTATATTCAAGTTGATATCTTTCCGTAAAGAAATGAAAAGATTCATCATTATAGTTACATCGGTTTCGGGATTTTTCGTATTCAAAACCACCGCGTATTTTGCTACAATCGCACGTTGTTCTTCGATTGTAAGATTTCGTATAATTAACTGGCAGATATTAGATATTAACATCTCATGATCGACATTTGTCTGTGAAATTAATTTTTCAATAATATGACATTCCTTGTACAGAAATTGATATACGTTGTAATCAGATTTCTTAAAAGCAATTAGCTTCTGGATGTTCAGTAATATTGTGACACGTATATCAGTGCTAACAGTGTCTGTTAACATCGTAACAATTTTCGGGAGTATTACACAACCTAGTTCACGTATTTTTGCAATTGCTAATAAAGCTTTTATCCTACGTTTTAGTAATTCCACTCCCGTTTCATCTGAAACATATCGTCAATATCACTTCATACTTCTCCACAGAAATAAGTTTATATCAACTATGTATCTTTAACTTACCTGTATTTGATAACAATCTCTCTTTTACTAACAATGATATTTCTTCAAGATATAACGCAGCAAACTCTATAACAGTTGTGTGACATATACTTTGTATCTCATCGCATCCCGTTTCAATTTCATCGCATATCGTATTATACAACACAGAGCGTTGTACGTTATTTAAATGTGCCTTTTGGATTGTTAAACCAAGGAACAGTTTACTTTTTAATTCAATATTTTCTACTGTCAAGCTATCTAAATACGTTTGAGGTATATTTGTCCATGATAATTCTGGAACATCTAGATTAAATATTTCATTATGTTTATATATGTGCGAGACATTAGTATTACAGTTCAATGAGCCATAATGGGAGTAATAGTGCAAAATAAATGCGACTTTATCAGAACTTCATAGTTTCAACTCACCTTGAACGCAAAAGTCATAATTAGAACATATTTTCATAAAACTATTTAACGTTTCTATCAATGCAATTCTGTCGTTCAATGAATTCTTTGTGGAATATTGTCCGATACATAAAGGTATTACAACTTGCAAGATTTGTACACATATCGTTTTGTTAACCGCAGCTATTGTTTCCAATAGCGTTTGGACAGGTCTGTACAAACTGAGTTGCACATCGCATAACGACGACTTTGTATCAGTGATTATCTTGTCAATAAATTGTTTGCAAACAGTCTCATCGACTGACGTAACTTTAATTAAAGACGCCGTTGCTCGTAAAGCAGTGTCTCTTATTTCAACGTCTCTCCCCGGCACTATTTCTTTCATTAAAATTGCCCAGAGGTCTGATAAGTACGGCTTTATTTTTGACAGCTCAAACGTTTGAACACTTTCACGCAACAGATTTAGAGAATCTAGTTTAGCAACTCTGAGAGTGGAACACGATTTATCAATTATAAGAGGTAAGCAATAATCTGCAAACTCTGGGACAGCGCATAAGCAAGGCGCCAATTTCTCCGCTAAATCTTCCCGTGACACACTCAGATCCTCCATGCCAGACTGCAAAACATTTATAAATTATAAATTTGTTGTGTTGTATGAAGAATAACAAAAAAAAATTAATTGATGATATAATTACAGGATTAAAATCAACTGGGAAATAACATGCCATAACTTCAAACATTTCTTCAGTTAAGTGACCTAATGGAAATTCTTTTATAAAATGCGGTAGTATATTAAACAATAACACGAGGTTATTCGGATCTCTTTCACCATCCATAGAGTTGATAATACCATAAACTAAATCTGGTCCCATGGATCTCAGATCATGTGATCTGTTCTCTATTAAGCTTTTAAGTACAAAATATATCTTGCGACGTTCGGGCAACAGCTGAGATTGACACTGAACGTGCTCAAACATAACTCTCAGTAATGACGACGATGCGTTTTCAGGTAAATGAGTCATGTTTACCTGAAAAGAAAGTTTATAATGAATTCAAGAGCGGAAAACGACGCGAGAGATGAAACCTCGCGGACAAATACTCACAATTGCTTGAATGCCATTTAGTATAGATGGCACAATACTGTAGTGATCCTTCATCCTGTCGCAGTAAAATGTTGTGATAAAATGCAATTCAGATTCATTGAGATAATCCGGGGGTAGCTGCGACAAAACGAAGGAAAGTGCCATGACTCCTTTCTCCCTTGTGAGAACATTTTGGTCTGTCATGTAAGAACCTAGTATCTCCACAAACGTGTACAGTTTCGTGGAACCTAATTCTATTTCTGAAACAAAAGATTTTAAACGATAGAGTCAAATAAGACCTGTACATAAAATCAAACAATCAGCGAGAAAATATTTTAATGTCTTCTGTAATGTTAGACTATGATTTTCATATATGTACAATACGAAATTTCAATTTTAACATAAAATTCTTAAATCAAGAGGGATGCAACAGCGATTGTGGTCACAAAATTGTGGATAACATTAAGACAATTAAGGCCCGGTTTCAGCAAACGTCGCTCAACCTTAATCTCGGTTTAATTCATACTTGTCTCTTTCTAAAGTAACCAGTTGGAAAGAGAGACGGAGAACGAATTAAGCCGAGCTTGAAGTTAAACAACGTTGGTGAAACCGAGCCTGAATGTACGCCATGGGATTCCAAAGCTGCAATTAAGCACGAAACTTGTTTTTTTCCCTCCGTTTCTCTTTCTACTAGTTGTTTAATTTTGCCGAGCGAGTGAAACGTGTCTAAAAAAAAAAAGACTTTTGTTTTCGTAAAATACATACCGGAAGCTATGTTTCTGCATAACGAACATAAAGCCGCTGTGTCTTTGAAACTAATATCTAATCGCTCTTTTAAATCAAAATTCGGGGACGAGGCCATAACCAAAAACCGTTGTTTACAAGGGACACTCAGCACATGATCGAGTCACGATAGCGAGAGGAAGCAAGAGAGGTGCGTGCGGTGCCGGCGGTGGCTCTAATCGACACACAGTA